GCAGTCCTAACCCACGCCATCTTGGCTCCTGTGACTTGTAATAAGTAACTAAGGTCTGTGATTTCCACCTTACCCAGATAATGTGTAAACAAATGTTTATCTTGACTTCTGTAAACCACTTAAGTAACAAACGGAATGACAAAAGTCCACTGGCCCTTGGAATATCCGGAGCCCTCGTCTCCGCCCAGGAGGTGATTTACAGAATCCACTAGCCCTCGGAATGTCTGAAGGCTTTTCATCCCCATCCCCGCTCCTCACCCCCACTCCCAAGGTGGTTTTTCGGGTATAAAAAGTCTTGGCACCCTCCTTTTGAGGCTACAGGTTGGAGAGACGTGAGTCCTCTGTGGTCGCCAGCATAATAAAGACCCTGTAATCTGGCATACTTTTGTCTTGGTGTTAACTTTCTATGCTTGGTCCAGTATAGCATAAGAAAAGAAAGAAAGAAAAGAAAAGAAAGAGAAAGAGGAAGGGGAGAAAGAAAGAGAGAGAGAGAAAGAAAGAAAGAAAGAAAGAAAGAAAGAAAGAAAGAAAGAAAGAAAGAAAGAAAGAAAGAAAGAAAGAAAGAAAGAAAGAAAGAAGGAAGGAAGGAAGGAAGGAAGGAAGGAAGGAAGGAAGGAAGGAAGGAAGGAAGGAAGGAAGGAAGGAAAGAAAGAAAAAGAAAGAAAGAACGAAAGAAAGAAAAAGAAGGAAAGAGAAAAAGAAAGAAAGAGAATTTTTAAAAAGTTGTGTTCAAGGTACTGGTTGTATTTTCTTCTAGAGTCTCAACTGAGGGAAAATCCACTTCCAAGCTTATTCAGATTGTTAGCAGAAATCATTGTCTTGCTGTTATGCAACTAAAGACCCTGGCTTTTTGCTGGCTGTTGGCTGGAGGCCTGTATCAGGTTCTAGAGGCATCCACAGGTTCCTAGAAGAGTCTACAGTTCCTTATCATATGGGCTTCTCCAACATGCCTGCTTACTCCATCAGGCTCACAAGGAACATTTCACTTCTGTCTGCTGAAACAGAGTTTCATATGACAAAACATAATTACAGGAGTGACATCCCATCATCTTTTCCATATTACGCAACCTGATCAAGGGAGTGACATCCCGTCACCAGTCCCGCCAACACTTAAGGGCAGGGAGTACGGCAGAGCATGAATATCAAGAGATGAGAAAACAAAGAGCTTACCTTACAGTCTGTCTCCTATAAGGAATGATCTGTATATGTTGGGTACTTAAAGTCCCAGTAGTGTTTAAGAAAATTTGGCAAATTGGAGGATCTAAGAGACCAGCTCTTTGGTTCCAATGTAAAATGAATGAGTAATTGGTTTAGATTTGGAATTTTGAGTTGAGTTGTAAGACAATTTTAATAGGTTTAGAAATTATATTAGATCATTTAAAACAACTTTAACATCTGCCATACTTATAGTTTAATTTCTTACAAATATTAAAATTTTAGGTTCTTGAAAGTGTAGCAGCAGAAGTGTCCAAAGATGGCCACCATCAATGCATGTTCTTCCTGTAGGTGCATTCTGCTCCTGATAACAAGAAAGAGGAGTTTACTTCTCCTCCTCTCCCCTCTGGACTGACCTTGTAACTAGCCCTGATCAAGACAATGTGGCAGAAGGGACACTCTGGTCCTTATGCCCAGGCCCCGCAAGAAGTGATAGCTTTTACTTTCTGCCTCTTACAATGTTGTTCTTTCTTGGAACCTAGCTGTTATGCTGTGAGAAAATAAATTATATATCTGATTGCAGAATACATAATGAGCTCTTTTTTTTTTTTTGAGACAGAGTCTTGCTTCGTTGCTCAAGCTGGAGTGCAGTGGTGTGATCTTGGCTCTCAACCTCTGTCTCCCAGGTTCAAGTGATTCTTCTACCTCAGCCTCCCAAGTAGCTGGGACTACAGGCCCACGCCAAGACGCCCGACTAATTTTTGTATTTTTAGTAGAGAAAGGGTTTCACCATGTTGGCCAGACTGGTCTTGAACTCCTGACCTCAAGTAATCCGCCCACCTCAGCCTCCTGTGTTGGGATTACAGGCGTGAGCCACCACACCCAGCCACGTAATGAACTCTTAAAACTCAATAACAAGAAGACAAACAACCTGGTTAAAAAAAAATAAGTAAAAATTTTCAACAAACATTACTAAAGAAGATAAAGGAATGGCTAGAAAGCATATGAGAAAATGCTTGGGGCTGGGCACAGTGGCTCACCCCTGTAATCCCAGCACTTTGGGAGGCCGAGGGAGGCATACCATGAGGTCAGGAGATCAAGACCGTCCTGGCCAACATGGTGATACCCCATCTCTACTAAAAATACAAAAATTAGCTGGGCGTGGTGGTACATGCCTGTAGTCCCAGCTATTTGGGAAGCTGAGGCAGGAGAATTGCTTGAACCCAGGAGATGGAGGTTGCAGTGAGCTGAGATCACGCCACTACACTCCAGCCTGGCAACACAGCAAGACTCAGTCTAAAAAAAAAGAAAAGAAAGAAAGAAAAGAAAAGAAAAGATGCTTGGCCCGGTGTGATGGTGCATGCCTGTAATCCCAGCTACTTGGGAGGCTGAGATAGGAGAATTGCTTGAACCCAGGAGATGGAGGCTGCAGTGAGCTGAGGTCATGCCACTGCACTCCAGCCTGGGCAACAGACACTTCCTCTCAAAATAAAAAAAGGAAAAAAAAAAAAAAAAGATGCTTAACATCATCAGTTATTAGGGAAATGCAAACTTGCAAATTAAAACCACAATGAGCCACCATTTCACACCTACTAGAATGGCTTTAATTGAAAAGACAGACCGTAACTATTGTTCCTGAAGATGTAGAGAAAATAGAATCTTCATTCATGGCTGAGACAAAGTAAAATGTTGTAGCTACTTTGGATAACAATTTGGCAGTTTCTCAGAAAGTTAAACATGTGTACTAAGCATGTTTTTTTATTCTCATGTTTTGACATCAGGCGCCTTACAGACCCTGTGGAGACTGCGCCTCCCAGGACCAGCCAACACCTAGAGATCACAAACAACTCACCTTTCATGTGCAAACCAAAGAATCCTAAGCCTATTTCCTCACCACCTCCTCAAACCGAGCTCTCACACATCTTGCCACTATTGCCCTGCCCTAGTCATCTCAGGGCTGGGTGCCAGATAATTACAAACATTCCCTATGTCCCAGAGTACAGTTCAAATGGGCCAGTCCTAAACCTGTTTACCTGGGCTCACCTGTTCCTTCCTGTGGAAACCAGAATAAGGGCTCTTGCTCCCGCTGCCCCGACTGACCCTGCTGCTCCACCATGTGGCCCGGCATGGTGAAGCACACCCTCTCCTCTTCGGAACTGTGATAGGCTGTCTTTTCAAGGGCAGTCATCTCCTGATCTGTTGACCTCGCCAGACCTGGATAAAAATAAAAGCAACATTTTTTTTTTTTTTTTTTTTTTTGAGACGGAGTTTCGCTCTTGTTACCCAGGCTGGAGTGCAATGGCGCAATCTCGGCTCACCGCAACCTCCGCCTCCTGGGTTCAGGCAATTCTCCTGCCTCAGCCTCCCCAGCAGCTGGGATTACAGGCACGCGCCACCATACCCAGCTAATTTTTTGTATTTTTAGTAGAGACGAGGTTTCACCATGTTGACCAGGATGGGCTCGATCTCTTGACCTCGTGATCCACCCGCCTCGGCCTCCCAAAGTGCTGGGATTACAGGCTTGAGCCACCGCGCCCGGCCCAAAACCAACATTTTAAAGCAATATGTTTACCATATGATCCAGCAATTTTATTCTTAGGTATTTACCCCACTGAAATGAAAACACATTTCTACATAAAGATCCGTACATGAATGTTCACAGCAGCATTATACATAATAACTACAAGTGGAAACCACCCACATATCTATCCGATGATGAATAGAGAAACAAAATATGTTCTATCGGAATACTTATTCAGAAATGCAAGGACTGATGATTTGTAAATGCTAAAACATAGATAAACTTGAAAATAATTATAGTGAAAGGAACCAGGCACAAAAGACCACACTGAATGATCCCTTTTATAGAAATGTTCAGAAAAGACAAATCTATGGAGAAAAAAGAGTACATTTGTGATGATGGCCTTGGGGCTGCAGTGGGAACAGGAGTTAACTGCCAATGGGCATGACGGTTCTCTTTAGGATTATATAAATATTCACAAATATTCTAAAACTAGATTACAGTGATAAACACAGTCTGTAAGTTTGTTAACCATCATTGCATTGTACACTTAAAACAGATGAGTTTATGGTATGTAAATTATACCCCCAGCAAAGCTGTTTAAAAAAATAAGTAAGTCTGGAACAAAGAAGTCCATGCCTTGCTGCTGCCTGGGGAATAAATACAATGCTTTAGCGGAAATGTCAGGGCACTATTCAGTTTTCCTACATCTATCAGATCATGTCAGATAGAAGTTCTGAGGGACAGCCACGCAAGGTGGCTCACGCCTGTAATCTCAGCACTTTGGAAGGCTGAGGTTGGCAGATCACAAGACCAGCCTGAGCAACACGGAGAAACCCCGTCTCTGCTAAAAAATACAAAAAAAAAGTAGCCATTCGTGGTGGTACATGTCTGTAATTCCAGCTACTTGGGAGGCTGAGGCAGGATAATTGCTTGGACCCAGGAGGGGGAGGTTGCAGTTAGCTAAGATGGTGCCATTGCACTCTAGCCTGGGCAACAGGAACAAAACTCCATCTCAAAAACAAATAAATAAATAACAAAGTTCTGAAGGATACCCAAGAAAGCATCCTGATTAGACTACACAAAGTCTGTGCAGACACAGTGGATTCTCCTTAACTTGGGGCCATCCAGCCTTAATGCTTTGTTGTACGTATGTGTAGAGGAAAATATGTGCTTCAATGGCAAACTATAGCCTACCTTTCCACATGGCAGATTCTAATTCCTTGGGAGCTATTGTACAACACTGTACCTTATAGGTAACAAATAGAAATGCAAAATAGTCCTTATAAAGTCTTTTAGGCCAACTGACTGTGCTGTGGACGGCATGGTAACCTCTGTGACCTGCATGTTCACTGCAGATGAATTCCTGGAACTAGAAAGTCTGAAGTATTTGGAAGACCACAAAAAGGGGAAGAGTGATCAACCCCTGCGGTACCTAATTAACTTTGAGACATTCTTCCATTGTTCCTTATTCCTGCCTCAACTGATAACCAACCTTGGTCAACCTCATGACTCCAGACCCTACAACACCCTCCCAGCTTGCAAAAATCACCCTGAACTTTTGTAACTTTCCACTGCCTACCCCAAACCTATAAAACCAACTCCTATCCCACCACCCTGCTCTGACTCTCTTTTGGACTTAGCCTGCCTGCCCACACCCAGGTGAATAAACAGCCATGTTGCTCACACAAAGCCTGTTTCGGGGGTCTCTTCATTCAAAGCGTGTTTTAACATTTGGTGCCAAAACTGGGGACAGTGGTACTCCTTTGGGGATACCAGCCCCTGTCCCCACCCCACCCTGGGAAAAGACCCACCTGAGACCTCAACACATCAGACGAGACCAGCAGCTCATGCTTAGTGTGCCGAACAGTTCTCTTGCCACCTTCAGATCTGGTAAACAATCTCTCCCTCTTTCTCTCTCTTTTCCTTTAGAGAAAAGGAGATAAATCTCTCCCTTTCTCTCTTTTTCTTTAAATCTTTTTCCTTCTAGTAGAGACAAAGGAGATACTCTTTATCCATATAGAGACAGAGGAAACAAGTCTCTCCCTCTCGCTCAAAAACTTCAACATTAGTCACAGACTAAGACAGTCTTCCCTTGGTCTCTGGTCAATAGCGGGACACCTGCCTTGATCACTCACCACATTACAGCCCAGGTTTTCAGGGACGCCTACTGAAAACCCTGGTAGCTGCTTGCTCCTTCCCTCGTCTCTACCTGACTTCTCTCCTTAAAACTTACCTCCTTCGCCAGAGGCAATATTCAGGCCTTTATTCCTCTGTCTTCACCTCTAGCCTGCATCCTAAAATGCCTAAAACCTCTTCAACTATCGCCCAATCTGAAACCTGTCTTATTTTTTTCTGTAACACAGCCTGGCCTCCATACAAATTAGTGCTTCCAAATGGCCGGAAAACGGCACTTTCAATTCTTTCATTCTGCAAGACCTAAACCATTTTTGTCTACAAATGGGCAAATGGTCTAAGGTGCCTGATGTCCAGGCATTTTTTTATACTCCAACCCTCCCTAATCTTTGCTCTCAATGTAACCCGTCCCAAATTTTCCTTCTTTCCCTTCAGCCCACCCCTCCTACCTCCACCAGTAACTCAGAATCTTCCTTGTCCATCAACCCTTCCCACCTTTCTCCTCCCGCCTGTCTAAACCAGGCCCTAATCCAGGCCAACCCCCACCCCCCAAGTCTCCCTCCTCTTCTTCTGCCCACAACCCACCTCCTTATGCCCCTCCTGTTACCTCCCCACCTCATACCCAGTCCAGCTTACAGTTTAGTCCCACAGCTAACTCCTCTGCCCCTGCTTAACAATTCCCCCTTCGAGAGGTGGCTGGAGCCAATGTCATAGTTAGAATGCATGTTTCTTTCTCTTTACCTGACCGTAAAGGCTCCTTTTCATCAGATCCTATTAAATATATACAAGAGTTCCAATACTTCAGCCAGTCCTATAATCCTACCTGGAGTGACTTAAATTTCATCCTTCTACTCTCACCCCTGAAAAATGCTTAATATGCATTTTATCACCCAATCAGCCCCGACATTAAAAAAGCTACAGAAATTAGAATCTGGCTCTCAAACCCCACAACAGAATCAATCTCGCCTTCAAGGTGTTCAGTAATAGGGAAGAAGCTGCCTGGCAGCAGTGCATCTCAGAACTATAAATGCTTGCCTCTGCCATAAGACAAACCCCAGCCATACCACCAGCTCACAAAGACTTCAAAGTGCCCTCCCTGACCTTGCTCAAAGTGTCAGAAACCTGGCCACTGGGCCAAGGAATGCCCACAGCCCAGGATTCCTCCTAAGCCCTGCCCTGTCTATGCGGGCGCCATTGGAGTTGGACTGTCCAACTCATGTCACTGTGACTTGTTGGCTGAAGGCTGATGCTGCCCAAACCTCTCAGAGGCCCCCGGGCCATCACGGATGCCAAGCTTCAGGTAACTCTCACGGTGGAGGGTAAGTCCATCCCCTTCTTAATCGACACAGGGGCCTCCCACTCCACGCTGCCTTCTTTTCAGAGACCTGTCTTCTTGGCCTCCATAACTGCTGTGGGAATTGACGGCAAGGCCTCCAGGCCTCTCAAAACTCCCCAAGCCTGTGTCAGTTAGGCCAGCACTCCTTTCCACATTCTGTCCTAATCATCCCCGCTTGTCTAGTTCCCCTGTTAGGCCAAGATAGCCTAGCAAAACTGTCTGCCTCCTTAACTGCAGCTGTAATACTCCTAAAATCCCTTAAAATCACAGGCTATGCTCCACTTACCCTCTATAGCTCTCACAACCTCCAAAGTTTAGTTTCCTCTTTACACCTCACACTTATTTTCAGCCCCTCGCCTTCTCCAGCTGTATGTACTCTTTATTAAAACCCCCACATAACCATTGCTCTTAGACCTGACTTCAACCCAGCCCCTCACGTAATATACAACACAAACCCTGAACCCCATGTCTGTATCTCCCTAATCCATATAGCATCCTCCCCATTTCCCCATATTTCTCTTTTTCCTAGTCCAGACCCAGACCACACATGGTTTATTGATGGCAGTTCCTTCAAGCCCAGTCGGTTGGCACAGCCAAAGCTGGCTGTGCTGTTGTATCCTATTCATTTATTATTGAGGCTGCCACACTCCCCTCTTCCACTACTTCTCAGCAAGCTGAACTGATTGCCTTAACCCATGCTCTTACTCTTGCCAAAGGACTACACGTTAATATCTGTACTGACTCTCAATATGCCTTCCACATCCTACACCACCATGCTGCCATATGGGCAGAAAGAGGTTTTCACACCACACAGGGGTCCTCTATTATCAATGCCCCCTTCATAAAGGCCCTCCTTAAGGTTGCTCTCCTCCCAGCCAAGGCCAGAGTTATCCACTGCAGAGGACTCAGGATTCAAGCCACTCCTAAAGAACCCACAGGGTATAGCCCCTTTGAACTCCTATATGGCTGCACATTTCTGCTTGGGTCTAACCTGATTCCAGACACCAGTCCTCTTGGTGACTATCTTCCAGTCCTCCAACAGGCCAGACATGAAATCCGCCAGGCTGCTAATTTCCTCTTACCCACTTCAGATACCCGGCCATGTGAAAACACCCTACCCGGAAGGTCAGTCCTAGTCAAAAGCCTAACCCCTCGGTCTCCGCAACCTCAGTGGACAGGAACCTTCCTGGTCCTCTACAGCACCCCAACCGCTGTCCATCTACAAGACCCTCCCCAGTGGGTCCATCATTCCAGGATAAAGCTGTGTCCATCAGATAATCAGCCTGACTCCTCCGCCTGCTCCTGGAAGTCGCAAGTACTCTCCCCTGCTTCTCTTAAAGTCACCCGTATCCCCAAAGTGAAAGAATAACCCTGTATAAACATAACATACCTTCCACTTTCATTAGGCATCTTTTTCCCTATTGCCGCTACTTCTCCTTCCACGCAATGACCCTATCAAATCCCACTACAACCTTTAACAGCCATGGCCCTTGCTGGTTCCCTCGGTATCTGGGTACAAAACCCCAGCCCCCAAAAACACTTTCTCACCATTTCAGTTTACACTTCCAGTTCTGCCTCAGCCAAGGACTTATTTTTCCTCTGTAGCTCTTCCACCTACCTCTGCCTTCCTACCAACTGGACAGGCACCTGTACCTTAATTTTCCTTGCTCCCCAAATCCAGTTTGCCCACTGAAAGAAACACCTCCCTGTCCTCCTTGTAACTCCTACATGACAAAAAAGAGTCATTCCATGAACCCCCTTGCTTGTAGGATTAGGAGTCTCCACTGCTGCAACTGGGACAGGCACAGCAGGCCTTACTACTTCCATCACCACACTCCGCTGTCTCTCTAATGATTTTTCCACCAGCCTTTCAGACATAGCTCAAATACTGTCTGTTCAAGCCCAAGTTAATTCCCTGGCTGCAGTTGTCCTCCAAAATTGCTGAGGCCTTGATCTATTGACTGCGGAGAAAGGAGGATTCTGCCTATTCCTAAATGAAGAATGCTGCTTTTATCTAAACCAATTTGGCCTTGTATATGACACCATCAAAACACTTAAAGACAGGGCCCAAAAGCTCATTAATCAGGCAAATAATTATTCAGGACCTAGCTGGCCACTGTCTAACTGGGTATCATGGCTCCTTCCATTAGCAGGACCCCTTATACCTATTTTTCTTCTTCTCTTATTCAGACCTTGCCTTTTCCAACTAATCTCTCAATTCCTACAGAATTGTATACAAGTGATAACCAATCAGTCAATATGACAAATGCTCTTTCTTTTTTTTTTTTTTTGAAACGGAGTTTCGCTCTTGTTACCCAGGCTGGAGTGCAATGGCGCAATCTCGGCTCACCGCAACCTCCGCCTCCTGGGTTCAGGCAATTCTCCTGCCTCAGCCTCCTGAGTAGCTGGGACTACAGGCACGCGCCACCATGCCCAGCTAATTTTTTGTAGTTTTAGTAGAGACGGGGTTTCACCATGTTGACCAGGATGGTCTCGATCTCTTGACCTTGTGATCCACCCGCCTCGGCCTCCCAAAGTGCTGGGATTACAGGCTTGAGCCACCGCGCCCGGCCGACAAATGCTCCTTCTAACAGCCCTACAATATCACCCCTTGTCCTGAGCAGTCTAAATTCTTTCCCGTTTTTAGGTTTCCATGCCACCCCAAATCCCGCTCAAAGAAACCCTGAGAAACATTGCCCCATCACCCCTCCTGCTGGCCTTCCTAATATTCCACTGCCCTCCACTCTTCATTTCTTTGTCCTTCATATTACTAGTATAAAAAGGAATGTAAGATCTTTTAGGCCAACTGACCGCACCATGGATGGCATGGTAACCTCTGTGACCTGCATGTACGCTCCAGATGAGTTCCTGGAACTAGAAAGTCTGAAGTAACTGGAAGACCACAAAAAGGGGAAGAATGATCAACCCCTGTGGCGCCTAATTAACTTTGAGATTTTCTTCTATTGTTCTTTATTCCTGTCTCAACTGATAAAGCAACTGGACTTTGTAACCGACCTTGGTCAACCTTATGACTCCAGACCCTACAACACCCTCCCAGCTTGCAAAAACTGCCCTGAACTGTAACTTCTGTAACTTTCCACTGCCTACCCCAAACCTGTAAAACCAATTCCTATCCCACCACCCTGCAATGACTTTCTTTTCGGACTCAGCCTATCTACACCTGGGTGAATAAACAGCCATGCTCTCACACAAAGCCTGTTTGGGGGTTCTCTTCATTCAAAGCACATTTTAACACTTCTTGGCTATAGACGTGCAAATTCTGTCCTGTTCAGCAGAGGTATAACTGTCTTCCTTCCCCAACTGTGGAGGAAATGAGTGTTGCCTGTATTTGTACATTCACTGGAATATTCTGGCTATATAAATGTGTTCTTTGACTTTTCCTTTTTAAAAATTCATTATTTATTTTTTAAATTTTTTTGGAGATGAAGTTTTGCTCCTGTTGCCCAGGCTGGAGTGCCGTGGTGCAGTCTCAGCTCGCAGCAACTTCTACCTCCAGGGTTCAAGTGATTCTCCTGCCTCAGCCTCCTGAGTAGCTGGGATTGTAGGCATGTGCCATTATCCCTGGCTAATTTTGTATTTTTAGAAGTGATGGGATTTCTCCATGTTGGTCAGGCTGGTCTCCAACTCCCGAACTCAGGTGACCCACCCGCCCTGGCCTCCCAAAGTGCTGGGATTACAGGCATAAGCCACCATGCCTGGACAAATTTATTTATTTTTTATTAGAAGAGATGGGGTCTAAGAGCAAAAGGAGGCCATTAAAATATTTGTATACTTTTATAAATACTCCAAATTTGAAAAGATCATTTTGTGGAGTATGGTTGGGTGATTGTGGCAGTGGAGTTTAAAAGAAATGGAGGTACACAGGAGATATTCAGAGAATAAAATAGAAAGGAGTAGGTGATGGGCTAAATGTGGGAGGAAATACTGGAGAAGAATGAGTCAAGGCGAGTCCCAGGTTAGCAGCTTGCACCACTGCTGGGGCCTGTCACTGAGGCTGGGAACACCAGAGGAGGCTATAGTCCCTCATCCCCTGTTTTAGTCTCAGCAAATCCCTCTAGCTTCTCCCATTGGGTTTGTTTCCTTGCTTGAAGGCAGTGAGTGGTTAGTCTCCTGTCCCTAGAAAATGACCAGCACACTCCCAAAACAAGTACAGGTTTTTCCAAACAAAAGCCAGGAGAGGGGACTATCGTGTGCAACATCTCTTTTAGGTCCAACTACATAAATGTCCCTGAACAAAGACACATTAAAAACTGGCCAGCTTCTTGAAATGGGGACTGGAAAATGCTGGAAGAAAGAAAAAACATTGGGTTGGAAAAAACAAGGAGGAGGAGAGTGGAATTTATAGTTCAGGAACTTAGAAGGAGAGAAAAGTCATCTCTTGATGATAATTCCTAATAGGTCACCTCCAATTAATCACCAAATCCTATTGATTCTGCTTTCTTAATAATTTGTGACCTGTCACCTCTAGTTTCATTGCATGAAGTTTTACAGACAAGACAGGACTTTGGTTTCTGACTTCTACCTGTGAAGACTTCATTTCACCACCTCTGTTCAGAGTGGGTGATCATGTTCTCACAGCTTCTTTACCTGAATTCCTATGAAACCAGTCATATCAGGATTGTATTTGGCTACAGGTAACAGAAAAACCTAAACACAGTAGCTTAACCAAACAGAAATGAATAGTACAGAGCAGGGAACAACAGCTTGAAGAAGTTACCAAGGACCCAGGTACACCCTAAAACTGCATTCCAGGTAGGAAGATGCGGTGGGAAGGGAAGATGGCTTCCGATCAGGAAAGCAGAACATTCCTAGAAATTCCCAGTAGACTTGCACTTTTGCCAGAACTGTTTTCACAGCTGCCTTAACAGCAAGGGAAGACAGGAAACATAAATACTAAGCAGTGGATTTTTTTTTCTGTGTGTATGTGTGTGTGTGCGTGCACAATTTTTTTTTCCTATAAGGAAGATGGGGAGAATGAATAAGGGCTAGATATGACAGTATCTGCACAAAAGGCCCTTCTGGATTTGGTCCCCGCCTCTTTTTAATCCTATCCCCCTTCTCTCTCCTGCAGGTCCCATTGCTCCAGCCACACCTGCAAGTCTCTAAATTTATGATGCTGTCACAAGTCCACACAGCTCTGCATATGTTTGTTTGTTGCCTGGATTGCTGTTCCTCTTTTCTTCCAAACTGGAACCCAGTTTTCTTTCAGACTTCAGCAGCAGTGTGGTTTCTTCTCATAAGTCTTTTTGGTCTCCTCTTCTCTTCTCCTATAGTTTCTCCAGTTTACCTCTATCTTTGGTGGCACTTCTCAAGACACTCTGATTATTGGTTTGCTGGGTCATGAGCTGCTTAAGAGTAGAGACTATATTTCACTCAATGCTACTCACGACAGTGTGAGTCATTAGGAAATGTGTTCTGAATGCATAAATCCAGCCCTATGTTCAGTTTCATTAGTGGCTGCATTTCATGATTTGAATGTGTCCTGCAAAGCCCATAGGTTTGGAACATAATCTCCAAGGCAACAGTCTTGGTAGATGGGCCTTCCTAAGAGGTGATTAGATCTTGAGGGCTCCTGGTCTCATGGATGGATTAATGTTGCCATCTTAGGAGTGGGTTAGTCATCATGAGAGTGAGTTATTTATAAAAGTCAGTTCAGCTCTCTTGATTGCTTGCTCTCTCTGGCACATATTCTCTTGTCCTTCCACTTTCTGCCAATGGGATGACACAGTAAGAAGGCCCTCACCAAATGCAGCCTCTTGATCTTGGACTTCCCAGCCTTCAAAACCATGAGCCAAATAAAGTTCTACTGTTTACAAATTATGCAGTTTATGGTATTCTGTTATAGTAGCAAAAATGGACTAAGATAGTGACCTATTCACAACCATCTTTCTCACCTTTACTTTCACTCACTGCAAATTAGAGGAAGGTTTTCAACTTCTCACTATGGCTTGGTGTGTTGGTTTTCTAGAGCTGCCATAAGAAAGTACCACAGATTGGGTGGCTTAAACAACAGACATTCGTTTTCTCATAGTTTTGAGACTGGAAGTCCAATGTCAAAGCATCAGCAGGGTTTATTTCTTCTGTCTCTCTCCTTGGCCTGCAGATGACTGCCTTCTTGCTGTGTTCTCATGTGGCCATTCCTCTGTGTGCACACAACCTTGATGTTTCCTTGTGTGTCCAGATGTCCTCTTCTTACAAGGACACATGCATTTTGGATTAGGGCCCACCCATATGACCTTATTCTGATTTAATCACCTCATTTTAATTTAATCATTCTATCTTCAGTATAGTCCTCTCCTGAGACATTGTAGGTTAGGGCTCCAACATAAGATTTTTGGGAGGAGGGGCACAATT